TTGGCTTGTAAGCCGGGTCGGGGGGCCCCCCCCCCCCACACACACACACTCCACACACACACACACGCATACACACAGAGCTACACTCATGCTATTAGTAACACACCTCAGGTAATTAGTGCTATTTACAACAGGGCAGCTCATCTCTTCCTGAAAGCACTCTAATGCAATTCCATTTGTTTAATTCCCATTGCCCTGGGAGGAGAAATTAGCATGCGGTGACAATGACTTTCTGCCTGAATACCCAATTGTGGCATTCACATTCCTATTACCCCGTCATAATAATAAAAGCAATAATAAAAGCAGTACCGCTCACTCACCAACGATGTCATGAAATGCGCTTGCCTGTGGCTGTGAGAGTTTTCTACTACTTTACTGCAAGAAAAGATTGGCCAAAATCTCCCCGCACAACTGTGTATACGGTTGCATGAACATTAATGGGGAGGCAGAGGGCACTTACCGGTGACTCACACGCCGCTGTGGTGCATAGAGGCCCCCTGAAAACCCCCTTGACGCGCCGAAAGTGTCCGTTGCTGAGATGCGTGGAGCTGATCACCAGGTAGTAACAGGCGCCGCACGCCATCCCGGGGGACTCGCGGCAATTGGGGCCCATGCACGGCCGCCTTTGCGTCGCCTCCTTGCGGCGTCCCGGAGTGCGTCACAGTAGGCGCAGGTAAGGACCGCGGTTCGCTCCTCACGCGCCCCCCACCGCCACCACCACCACCACCACCACCTCACCTACCCCCGCACAGCCCACCGCTACTCACTCGCAAGTGTGCGCATGGAGAGTACTGATGAAAACTATATGCTCACATGTGCGAAAGAAAGAAAGAAAGAAAGAAAGAAAGAAAGAAAGAAGGAGCTTGGGGGGGTATTTGGAAGCAAGCTGAGTCGCTGGAGTGTGCCGCGCTTGGCATGCTGTCCTCGGTCAGGCTGAGATGAATGAATGCACGCCTTTTTTTGTATCTCACCCCCACCTCTGTGCCCCTCATCCCTTCTTCCTCTTGGGTTGGTGCACTTTTGCAGCTCCTACTCCGCGCTCGCAAAGATGTTGGAGGAGGAGGAGGAGGAGGTGTGACACTCTCCCTCCCCCTCCCGACCCTTCCCCTCCGCTTCTTGATGCTCTCTATTGATTGGCACCAGATTTAAGATGTCCCCGTGCCATGAATTAAATCCAGAGGTGTGCGAGGTGGCGGAGGCGTAAATCCATCCACAGGAGTTATGGTCGAGGCTCTAGCCGATCAAGACAAGCTGATGTGGATCAAATTCTTTCCCACGGAAGAAATATACACACACTCTCTCTCTTGTCCTCATCCTAGCGCTCTCTCTCCCTTTCCTCACTCTCGCTCCCCCCTGATCTATTCCGTGTCAGCACGTGCGTATGGATGAAATTCCACTCAGTGAGGATGCATTGCTTTCCACTCAAGTGTGTCACTGCGTGAGTGTGTGTGTGCGCGCGCGCGCGTGTAGAGCAGTGGGTTTGTTTAGGATTTGGTTTATTAATCTGACATGAATTCAATAACGCTGAGTTTCAAGACGAGCGTCTGAGAAGTCGCTGGAACAGCGTATTCGAGGAGCTGTTCACAAACGCAGTGCTGAAAACTAAAGCAGGCGCAGCCAAGCTATTAAAAGACACGTTTTAAGCACCCCCCCCCCACACACACACACACACAACCTGCAACAGTTCTGCCAATGTACCACAAGAATCAAGAATTTTAGTACAATTTATACAACCTGTTTCTGGTTTGCTGAAATTACACCAATTCAGAAAATAATGGCCAAAGTAGTTTTTTTTTTTTTTTTTTTTGCAGAAAACAGGAAAAGCTGAACAAAATACAGATTGTATTTTATTTCAGCAGGTAGAATCTTCTGTTGAACTAAGGATATGGCCGACTTTTGCAGAGACGGCCAGCATCATGAGGAGGCCTAAAAAAAATGTTTACTGCTAAAATATGTGTCAGGCAATTATTATAATAGATGTTCATATTTTGCTTAACCTTGATCATAAATACTAAAAAATAATGAGCGGCATATTAAATTTGGTTCAGGCTAAATGTTTCATCAAGTTATTATTGTAAATATCATTAGATTGCATTGGTGTACTGCATGTCACAATGGAGTCTGATTGCATGTATCTGAACCGGGCGACTTGTTAGCGGAAGACATCTGACACTGTTTTGCAGACATAATATTTAATGGCTTTGCAAACACAGACTCAGGAAGCCAGTCTAATAGAACTGCATGAACTGAAAATTAGATTTTTTTTTTATTGCTTATTTTTATGGACTTGATTGACAGTAGGCAACAACTTTTCGCTTAAAAAGGTTTTTTTCCCCTTATAATTGCCATTTTCTGTGAAATACGCCTCGAAATAAATGGATGAATAATGCTCCTTCCCCCACAGTGAGCGGTTATTTGTGACTGCTAATGTATCTTTTAGTGACTCGAGATGCCCACAAAGACTGTCATTTCTGGAAGCGGAGAGCCAAATTGCAAAAACAGAGCCACACTTGTCTTCTAAAGAAAGAAAACAGACACGTTACAATGTAGAAACGAATCGTCGTTTTCTGGTGGAATAGTGATTATGTCTGCCTCACGATTAGGATGTTGTAGATTTTAATCTCGCACTGAAGCTTCCTCCCGCATTCCAAAGTCATATATATGCTCGGTTCATTAAGAAACCAGGTATGGGCAATTTAAATGCTTGGGAGGGAGCGGGGCGGGGCTCCGGGGGTACAATTTATCATCAATGCAACTTCGATCGTTGTTGTGATGGTGACTTGAGTTGAAATCTTTCATAACGTCTGATGGCGTCTCAAAGCAAACTTAACAGATTGGTTTGCGTTTGAATTTGGTGAACATCGAATCTGCTTCCGATGTGACCTGAAAGAGACCATTTTCTTGACCTCTTCTTCTCCGATGCATGCAGCAGTCTTGAAGGGTTGGAGGCACTGGTCAGCAATGTCTGTCATCGAGAGGTGAAGACCGTGATGAAGACTGCTCAGCTATCGTTAACATTTTCACTTTCCAAAAATTTATCGAGGGCCACTCCAAGGGTGAGCCGCTAGCTGCCCATCGCTTCTCTCAACTATTCATACCGTGGCTGTGATACTGAGCCTGAGCGGCTGTTTGTGCCCACGTGCACTGTGATTGGCTGTCAACCAGTTCAGGGTGTGCCTTGCCTCTCCCCAAAAGTCAACTGGACAGGCTTCAGTTCAACCATGTTCCTCACAATCGTAAATGCTTTCGAAAATGGTCGGCTGGATGGACGTTTGCTCCAGGGGAACACATTCGAGAGTTCCACTTACTACACTGAGTAACCTCGTAGTCCTTGTACTTCTCTGCCAAGTCTTTCATGTGCTCAAGGTCAGGGCAAGTCAGGTCCAAGTCGCCAGCTTTCCAAAGTCTCAGCTCTTTGAAGCTGACATTACAACTTGAGCAAGCGGCCTCCCAGCTAGACGCAGTGTGATTCAAAGCAAGGCTGCAAGCCAGCGAGTGTGTGATGGCTCTCAATTTTGTCTTTCGATGCATCTGGGGATTCCTTCACCTGCTCAAGCTGCACACGAGAAAAGATGAAGAATGAATCGACAGTATACTGAACAGTCTACATTTGTGCTCTGCACAAATGTCGAGTGATGTCATGGTTATTTACGGCATGAGTTGTACTGTGTGATGTGAGACCACATGTCACACTGAGAAATGATCATCATTCGCCACAGCGGCATCTGATCTTTGCTGTCTTGATATCATTATATTCCAACGACTGAATCTTTTACTGTCCTGCAGTTGGCTGGGGACCAGTCCAAAGTGTGCCCAGCCTCTCTTCCAAGGTCAGCTGTGATCGGCTCGTGCTGTAAAAACAAAATGGATGGATGAATAATCTGCATTCCGGTGCGTTCATTTATTACCATAAAGTTTCTTTCATTCTTCTGTAAAACATTCCAACTTTTACTTTCTTAATGATTTGGCCTTTCGTAAAACCCATAACGCCAAAGCATCATGTCTATTTGAGACAAATGTTCATAAATGTTTAACGCACAAATAATCGAGGACTTCTTACCATTTTATTGAGTTATGGATTTATTTATTTTTTTCTTGGGTGAAGTAATCATTCAAGTATTGTCGATCTTCATGACTGGTTTCCAGGGCGAAAGCTGTAATCCTCTACATAATAATGGTTCATTCATACGCTGCTATTATTAAGGACGCCAAGGTCAGCGTAGGTTTGATATTCAAGGTTGAGTCATTCAAATGTTATTTTCTTTAGAATTCTTATTGAGTAAAACACACGTTCCATTTTTCTTCATAAGAAATTTGACTTTTTTAAATCGCTTTTTTGTTTTGTTGTGTTTTTAGAACTATATCGGAGTTGCTGGCTTAGTAGAAGTCTTCAGATTTTAACCATACTGTTCCATCAAGTTTCCTGAGCTGAGCTCTGCTATTTTCTCTTCCCCCAGTTGGCAGTCAGACTACACCAGGGGTGCCCAAACTTTTTGGAACGAAGATCGACTTTTCGATCAATGCGATCGACCCGTTACGACGCACGCACATACACACGCGTGCCATGATGAGCAACAGCCTGACACGGAGGCTTGCGACGCACTTTTGCAGCTTGAGCATCTCAGTTCCCCAAAATCTGATTTTTCTGGCTAGTCCTTGATGGGTCAGGCATTAAAGGGTTAATTAAAACCCCCCGAATAAGAAGCCTGGGTTACCCCTTTTCTAACCCGAATATTGAAAGGGTATTGATTGATTTGTGTTCTGTGCATCCTCTAGCCGCAAGGAATCTTGGTCTTAGGAGTACGGGAAGTAACTGTATGCCGGGCGATCCCGCTCACTCGCCATCGCAAGGCAAACTTGAACACATTGATTTCTCTGCGGTGGTATTTTTGGTCTCTATTATGAAAATGACACAGTTTGGATACAGACACACATTAATGTGGATATGAGCCTATAAGGCCTGTGCATCTGGCGCGCAGCTCTCCGGAAATACACGAGCCGAGGTACACAAACATGGCAAACCTCTCGCGTAGCCACGCGTAGCAAGGTGGCACACTTTTGGACGAAGAGAGAAATGAGGTGAGAGACGTGAATGTAATGTGTTTTGCTTGATGGCAGAAAGTAAGAAGCGGAAGTAATGTCCGTTTGCTGTCATGACAATATCTGTACGTCGTCTGTTTCGATCGGGATAATCCAACAACCTTGTATGCGGGAGTAACTGTCAGCTCACACATGCAAAGGTCATACCCCGAATGTTTCAGAAAGCGGGATTTTGACCTTAACCCAAGTATTGCGCTGCATATAAACATAGTCAAACTCAATTGTCGTTGCACACCCATCAGTCGAGGGCTAACAGGGGGAGCAGTGGTTTATTTGCAAACAAACCCAGTTTCTCTAAACTGGGCTTTGTACAGAAGATGAAATATGTTGTTTGTCTTGATTTCGACCAAAGCATTTCACAAGCATTGTACTGAGATTTAAATTAATTAGTGGAACAATGGCACAATGTTCTTCCTTTAAAGTTAGTGGAAGGACATTTTCTGTACGCAGCCAGAAAGTGTTTAGAATCAGTTTGTCATAAATATATGCTGAAAAAGACGTTCATGTTAACCATGGAATTGAAAGCAGTTTACTTTCTTCTTCTATTCTTGTAATGCCAACTTTGAGGTCATAGTTACCGTTTTTACAAAAACTGAATGAAATAGATTTTTTTGTTTTTGCATACATAGTGCTTCTGTGTCCTTTTTTTTTTTTTTTTTTTTAAATAACCCTCCCTACTCCTGGGAAAAAGAATTTCCCTTCATACTCCTTTCTGCTTTAGTTAATGTCTAATTCATGTCTCATATACTTAAGCCTTTCTCGGTGATGTATTTTCTATGGGACCGAGAGCCACTGTGAACATCCCAGTAGTAATGAATGCAACCTAAACAATGCAAATGACATTTGCAAAAAAAAAAAAAAAAACCCCTGCAGATTGATGAAAAAGAAAAGACTGCTCACTTGAATTTTTGTTCATGTTCTTTTGAAGACACAGATCAGGTGACACATACGCACTGTTTGCGTATCTTTGACGACACAAGAAAAAGAGGTGAGGCTGGTTGTGGATACTTGTACTTGTGATCCACAAGAGGAAACCTTTAGATATATTTTAAACACTCCAATTCCCTTAAGTACCGCCTCTCTTCATTGCTCTCTGGCTGCTCCTACTGCACTCATTACCGCTCGAAATGAGGCAGTACAGTCCATGCAGAAAAAGGAGAGTCAGGGTATGGGGGTCGGGCTCGGTGGGTGTAGGGGGGGGGGGTCCACGGAGAGAAAAAGAGAGAAGGCAAAAATCACGGTGGTATCTGTTTTCCCCAGTTGCTGCCTCTGGCTCTCTTCCCTTCTTGTATCTGCTTATAAGCTGCAGAAATATTGCAGCCGGGCTGCATATTGCTTTCGTAGGCACTGTGCTGAAAAGTCACATTCACCATTAGGATCCAGAAGCTGGGATGAGCGTGGGAGCGATGATACATGTGTGTCCCTGATCCCCTCCAAAGAGCCCCCGTGGGATCCCACGTTGTCGAAACTCGCCATGCATGGCTGCAGACGACCACTTGACGTCTTCTGGACTTACCTCGTGCATTCCAATACATAAATGTCAGATTCATAGGAAGAGATACTATTTTTGCACAGCGCTATGTCAGTCCATCCATTCATCTTCCAAATCGCTTGTTCTGTTTTGGGTTATGGTGATATGGAGCAGACTTTGGGCAATAGACAGACTATACCGTAGACAGGTGGCTTGTCAAATTAGAGTCAAATGGGTCATAATCATTCAAACTCACAGCATAAAACTCTTTTCACGCCGCGCTTAGCAGCGTGCCATTGATGAACCCATTCATTGCGCATGTGGTGAGGGGAAGACACTACGGAATGGAAAGTTGTTGGGTGACTGAAATATACCTCAAAGAAGAACTGTAACTCACCAGTGAGATTAGAACTCTCCATGTACCCGCCGAGCCATTAGTAAAGGATGCACTATGCCAAGCCAGGGCTTTCTTTTGCAACAAGGAAAGATACAACAATGCAAATTTATGTTCGCTCAATTTTGGCTTTTAACCTATGACATGGTTTTGTTGGAACATCTGTGTTTAAATAGACAATGATTAAATCTAATTTCGCTTTACAGTAAACTTCAACTTGAGGGACAGATTAACAGCTTGCAACAAGCACATTATGAGCAGTTGGCTCAAGTAAGACCTCTCCTTTCTCATGAGCACTTTGAACCAGTAATTCATGCCTTCGTCACATCCCGGCTGAATTACTGTAACACACTTTACTTTGGAGTCAGCCAATCCTCCATTAAGCGTCTCCAGTTGGTCCAGAATGCTGCTGCTCGCCTCTTGACTGGTACTCGTAAGCGGGAACACATCACTCCTACTCTGCCATCCCTTCACTGGCTCCCTATATATTTTAGAGTTCTTTTTAAGACCCAATTATTTGTTTCCAAATCTTTAAATGGCCTTGCTCCACCTTACCTCTCTGAGCTCCTCCGCCCCTACACATCTGCCCGGGTGCCTCAGGTTTGCGGACCAGACATTATTAGACATACCAAGAACTAAGCGGAGGCTCGGAGGGGATTGATCCTTTTCCGTTGTTGGTCCCTCTCTTTGAATGACCTCACACTGAACTTTCGCTGTCCATCTTTAAAACTCCTCTCAAAGCTCATTTGTATTCTTTGGCTTTTGACTCTGCGTGACTCAGACTTGATCTTATCTTGACTGTTTTTGTGCTTTCTACGGTCTTCTTTTTATTTGTGTATTGTTGTATATATGATATTTGCTCCATGTACAGCATTTTGTATACAGCGGTGGTTGTTTTAAAGTGCTCTATAAATACAGTTGAGTTGAGTTGAGGATCTTATTTGGGGAATTGTTTGGCAAATTGACTTTTTTTGTTTGAGCAAGAGGTTCCAACTGGCTTCTGGAGTTACATAACACTTACCCAGGCAGATCATCACCTGCTCTTTTACTCCCACCGCCTACTAGAACCCAAGCTAAGCGTTTGGACACCCCTGGTCAACATGGTATATGCCTTACAATTGGCTGCACTGTAAAAAAAAAAAAAGATGTTGGGTGAATTCAAAATTTCAAGGCAACAAACTTTGATAACATTTGAAGTTGTGAAATTCAACAGTTTTACGTTTTGTTGTTGTGAAAATTGGCCTTCCTGCATTTCACCACAAAGAAATAAAAGTTTCCAAAATGATTGCCTCTTTTATGGAACCCCAACTTCAATATTTAAGTAAAAACAACTTGCTTGTTTGTTGCCATAAGTGTCAGTAATTTATATTTTAACATTTTGCCATCTTAAATGACTGTTTAGGCCCAAAATATACAAGTTGTATCTATTTTTTTTACAGGGTGGCATCTGTGCCCTGAATGGATGACAGTAAAGAATATTCAAATGTTCGTGAGATTATCGCGTACGCAAAAAGGCTGAATGAGGGTGATGGTTTGAACTTGAAATGGATCGATTCCATTTGCACATTGCAATGATGAGCGCAACATTTTGTATACAGCGGTGGTTGTTTTAAAGTGCTCTATAAATACAGTTGAGTTGAGTTGAGGATCTTATTTGGGGAATTGTTTGGCAAATTGACTTTTTTTGTTTGAGCAAGAGGTTCCAACTGGCTTCTGGAGTTACATAACACTTACCCAGGCAGATCATCACCTGCTCTTTTACTCCCACCGCCTACTAGAACCCAAGCTAAGCGTTTGGACACCCCTGGTCAACATGGTATATGCCTTACAATTGGCTGCACTGTAAAAAAAAAAAAAGATGTTGGGTGAATTCAAAATTTCAAGGCAACAAACTTTGATAACATTTGAAGTTGTGAAATTCAACAGTTTTACGTTTTGTTGTTGTGAAAATTGGCCTTCCTGCATTTCACCACAAAGAAATAAAAGTTTCCAAAATGATTGCCTCTTTTATGGAACCCCAACTTCAATATTTAAGTAAAAACAACTTGCTTGTTTGTTGCCATAAGTGTCAGTAATTTATATTTTAACATTTTGCCATCTTAAATGACTGTTTAGGCCCAAAATATACAAGTTGTATCTATTTTTTTTTTACAGGGTGGCATCTGTACCCTGAATGGATGACAGTAAAGAATATTCAAATGTTTACTGTTTAGTCCCAAAATATACAAGTTGTATCTATTTTTTTTACAGGGTGGCATCTGTGCCCTGAATGGATGACAGTAAAGAATATTCAAATGTTCGTGAGATTATCGCGTACGCAAAAAGGCTGAATGAGGGTGATGGTTTGAACTTGAAATGGATCGATTCCATTTGCACATTTCCTATGGGTATAATTTCAATGATGAGCACAACATATCGAATCGGAGATATTACAGATGCTAAGATAACATCAGCTGGGTATTGAGCCACTTGTGTGCGCGCATAACAGAATGTGGGAAGTGGTATTAGGATTTACCACTCTCATCTGTGCTTTCGTCCATGGGTGAACATTGAGATTTATTGCTGAGTGTATGTGTGGGTGTGCGCGTGTTTCAGAGGGAACACGTTGTATGTCTCTGTGCGCACACACACGCACATTGGAGCCAATACAAAAACGTCACAAAGCAGCTGCGTATGTCCACATGCTGTGCGGCCACAGCCGCGTGCATATTAGTTTTTACTCGCTGGATTGAAAGAAATGAAATATTCCGTCATCTAAATGTAAATGGAAGTTAAATTTACCAGTGGGGTTCTTTGTAATTCCCGGTGCCATAATTTCTCGGAGGTGTGTTTGTGTAAGGGAAGAAAGAATTTTAGGAGAGAAATACGGAGAACATATGAGTATCCAATAGAAGGGAAGAAGATTGATGTTCCTTTTTGGTTGTGCGTGCTGGTGGCGTAGGTACAGACTGAGTGTGGAAAAAGAATATAGTGTTCGCTACTATATGAAATGTCATCTTGTGAAAAAGACCAAAAGATAAAAAGGAGTATCATGTCGGTCTACGGACCACATGGTGTTCCAGTGTGCGCTCAAACCTTTTGATGCCGAGGCAGCGTCGGCATCATGGGGTCGTA